AGGAATGCGTACTCGGTGGAGGAGGAGGACCCAGAGAACGTTCCAAGGAAGCGTGAGGTAAATTCATATAAACATCCGGCAAGTCGGAGCCGTCCTCATGCAGACAGAGTCATGGCGAGGAGATATTCTCAGATAATCAGCTTAGAGGCATTCATGTCCTGAAGTTTACAGAGACAGTCCACAAAGTTTGTTACGTAACACAGTAACAGTTCAGTCTGCAGATAACACTGACAGCATTAGAACTGTTCAACAGGCTGCAGGCAGCAACATCACACAGCGTCTCACACACAGTCACACACACAGTCACACACAGTCACACACAGTCACACACACAGTCACACAGCATCACACAGTCACACACAGTCACACACACAGTCACACACACAGTCACACACACAGTCACACACAGTCACACACACAGTCACACAGCATCACACAGTCACACACAGTCACACACAGTCACACACACAGTACACACACAGTCACACAGCATCACACAGTCACACACAGTCACACACAGTCACACACACAGTCACACACACAGTCACACAGTCACACACAGTCACACACACAGTCGCACACACAGTCACACAGCATCACACAGTCACACACAGTCACACAGCATCACACAGTCACACACACCGTCACACACACAGTCACACACACAGTCACACACACAGTCACACACACAGTCACACAGCATCACACAGTCACACACAGTCACACACACACAGCATCACACACACTAACACACACAGTCACACACACAGCATCACACACACTAACACACACAGTCTCACACACAGTCACACACAGCGTCACACACAGCACACACACAGCGTCACACACAGTCACACACAGTCACACACATCCAGCACACACAGTCACACACACAGCATCACACACACTAACACACACAGTCACACACACAGTCACACACACAGCATCACACACAGTCACACACACAGTCCACACACAGTCACACAGCATCACACAGTCTCACACACAGTCAACACACACAGTCACACACAGTGTCACACACAGTCACACACAGTAACACACAGTCACACACAGTGTCACACACAGTCACACACAGCATCACACACAGTAACACACAGTCACACACAGTCACACATAGCGTCACACACAGCGTCACACCCAACGTCACACACAGTCACACACAGAGTCATACAGCGTTTCACACAGTCACACACAGCGTCACACCCAACGTCACACACACAGTCACACACAGCGTCACATACAGTCACACACAGCGTCACACACAGCGTCACACACAGTCACACACAACGTCACACACAGCGTCACACACAGCGTCACACACAGTCACACACAGCGTCACACACACAGTCACACACAGTCACACAGCGTCACACACAGCGTCACACACAGCGTCACACACACAGTCACACACACAGCCCCCCCACTTCACACACAGTCACACACAGTCACACGCAGCGTCACACACAGTCACACACAGCGTCACACACACAGTCACACACAGTCACACGCAGCGTCACACACAGCGTCACACACAGCGTCACACGCAGCGTCACACGCAGTAAACACAGTCACACACAACGTCACACACAACATCACACACAGCGTCACACACAGCCACACACAGCGTCACACACAGTCACACACAGCGTCACACGCAGCGTCACATGCAGTAACACACAGTCACACACAATGTCACACACAACATCACACACAGCGTCACACACAGCGTCACACGCAGTAACACACAGTCACACAGCGTCACACACAACGTCACACACAGTCACACACAACGTCACACACAACGTCACACACAGCGTCACACACAGTCACACACAGCGTCACGCAGCAACACACAGTCACACACAACGTCACACACAAAGTCACACACAGCATCACACACAGTCACACACAGCGTCACACACAGCATCACACACAGTCACACACAGCATCACACACAGTCACACACAGCGTCACACACAGTCACACACAGCGTCACACACAGTCACACACAGTCACACACACAGCATCACACACACTAACACACACAGTCACACACACAGTCACACACACAGCATCACACACAGTCACACACACAGTCACACACACAGTCACACAGCATCACACAGTCTCACACACAGTCACACACACAGTCACACACAGTGTCACACACAGTCACACACAGTAACACACAGTCACACACAGTCACACACAGCATCACACACAGTAACACACAGTCACACATAGCGTCACACACAGCGTCACACCCAACGTCACACACAGTCACACACAGTGTCACACACAGTGTCACACACAGAGTCATACAGCGTTTCACACAGTCACACACAGCGTCACACCCAACGTCACACACACAGTCACACACAGTGTCACATACAGCCACACACAGCGTCACACACAGTCACACACAACGTCACACACAGCGTCACACACAGTCACACACAGCGTCACACACACAGTCACACACAGTCACACAGCGTCACACACAGCGTCACACACAGCGTCACACACACAGTCACACACACAGCCCCCCCACTTCACACACAGTCACACACAGTCACACACAGTCACACACAGTCACACACAGCGTCACACACACAGTCACACACAGTCACACACAGTCACACACAGTCACACGCAGCGTCACACACAGCGTCACACACAGCGTCACACGCAGCGTCACACGCAGTAACACACAGTCACACACAACGTCACACACAACATCACACACAGCGTCACACACAGCCACACACAGCGTCACACACAGTCACACACAGCGTCACACGCAGCGTCACATGCAGTAACACACAGTCACACAAAATGTCACACACAACATCACACACAGCGTCACACACAGCGTCACACACAGCGTCACACGCAGTAACACACAGTCACACAGCGTCACACACAACGTCACACACAGCGTCACACACAGTCACACACAGTCACACACAGTCACACACAACGTCACACACAGCGTCACACACAGTCACACACAGCGTCACGCAGTAACACACAGTCACACACAGCGTCACACACAGTCACACACAGCGTCACACAGTCACACACAGTCACACACAGTCACACACAGTGTCACACACAGCGCCACACACAGTCACACACACAGTCTCACACAGTCACACACACAGCCCCCCCACTTCACACACAGTCACACACAGTCACACACAACGTCACACACAACGTCACACACAACATCACACACAGTCACACAGCGTCACACACAACGTCACACACAGAGTCACACACAGTCACACACAGCGTCACGCAGTAACACACAGTCACACACAACATCACACACAGTCACACACAGCATCACACACAGCGTCACACACAGTCACACACAGCGTCACACGCAGTAACACACAGTCACACACAACGTCACACACAGTCACACACAGCATCACACACAGCATCACACACAGTCACACACAGCGTCACACACAGCGTCACACACACAGTCACACACAGCGTCACACACAGCGTCACACACAGCGTCACACACAGTCACACAGCGTCACACACAGTCACACACAGTCACACACAGCGTCACACACAGTCACACACAGCGTCACACACAGCGTCACACACACAGTCACACACAGTCACACAGCGTCACACACAGCGTCACACACAGCGTCACACACAGCGTCACACACACAGCCCCCCCACTTCACACACAGTCACACACAGTCACACAGCGTCACACACAGCGTCACACACAGCGTCACACACACAGTCACACACACAGCCCCCCACTTCACACACAGTCACACACAGTCACACACAGTCACACACAGCGTCACACACACAGTCACACACAGTCAGACACAGTCACACGCAGCGTCACACACAGCGTCACACACAGCGTCACACGCAGCGTCACACGCAGTAACACACAGTCACACACAACGTCACACACAACATCACACACAGCCACACACAGCGTCACACACAGTCACACACAGTCACACACAGCGTCACACGCAGCGTCACATGCAGTAACACACAGTCACACACAATGTCACACACAACATCACACACAGCGTCACACACAGCGTCACACACAGCGTCACACGCAGTAACACACAGTCACACAGCGTCACACACAACGTCACACACAGCGTCACATACAGTCACACACAGTCACACACAGTCACACACAACGTCACACACAGCGTCACACACAGTCACACACAGCGTCACGCAGTAACACACAGTCACACACAACGTCACACACAAAGTCACACACAGCGTCACACACAGCGTCACACACAGTCACACACAGCATCACACACAGTCACACACAGCATCACACACAGTGTCACACACAGCGCCACACACAGTCACACACACAGTCTCACACAGTCACACACACAGCCCCCCCACTTCACACACAGTCACACACAGTCACACACAACGTCACACACAACGTCACACACAACATCACACACAGTCACACAGCGTCACACACAACGTCACACACAGAGTCACACACAGTCACACACAGCGTCACGCAGTAACACACAGTCACACACAACATCACAAAGTCACACACAGCATCACACACAGCGTCACACACAGTCACACACAGCGTCACACGCAGTAACACACAGTCACACACAACGTCACACACAAAGTCACACACAGCATCACACACAGTCACACACAGCGTCACACACAGCGTCACACACACAGTCACACACAGCGTCACACACAGCGTCACACACAGTCACACACAGCGTCACACACAGCGTCACACACACAGTCACACACAGCGTCACACACACAGTCACACACAGCGTCACACACAGCGTCACACACAGTCACACACAGCGTCACACACAGCGTCACACACAAGTCACACACAGCATCACACACAGTCACACACAGCGTCACACACAGCGTCACACACACAGTCACACACAGCGTCACACACAGCGTCACACACAGTCACACACAGCGTCACACACAGTCACACAGCGTCACACACAGTCACACACAGTCACACACAGCGTCACACACAGTCACACACAGCGTCACACACAGCGTCACACACACAGTCACACACAGTCACACAGCGTCACACACAGCGTCACACACAGCGTCACACACACAGCCCCCCCACTTCACACACAGTCACACACAGTCACACACAGTCACACACAGTCACACACAGCGTCACACACACAGTCACACACAGTCACACACAGCGTCACACACAGTCACACACAGTCACACACAGCGTCACACACAGAAGAAACTGAGCTGAAGGGGGCCTCAGTAACCACAAATAATGGGATGCTACGATGAGCAGCAGATGGGGAGGGGTCAGGGGTCAGGGGGCTCTGTGAGGAGAAGGGGGGGGAGGGTGATAGAGGAACAATGACCTCCACCCCCATCCTCCAGGATGCCGATACACCATGCATCAAAACGCCACTGGCAGACCCCCACCTGTTCCTCACTCCCTCACAAACAAAGGGAGGGGGTCCCATGTAAACCCCGCCTCCTTTCAAAGCATTCACTTGGGTAGTTTAATCCTGGTCTCAGTTTTGAATACTTCATGGTCTTATTGAAAGGTTTAGTCCTGCAGAGCCTCCAAACAGGATGTGACATCATCTTTGACTGCAGATGCTCACGTCCACTAACGGCGTCCTCGCACTCACACAGGACTGCAGGACTAACCGGGTCTAAAGGACTAACCGGGTCTGAAGGACTAACCGGGTCTGAGCACGAGTACTTCCTGTATGGCTTTATGTGACTTAAAGGGACGCGTGGTCGAGTCTGTGTCCGCACATCAGAGAACATGACTCAGCTGTTTTATTCTGAGTCATGTTAGAAACAGACAGAACACTCGGGGACGGATTATACTTCACGTCCATGTCGTGTACCCATGCTCGTGCTGAAGATCACCTCTTCAAATCCTGCCACGACCGAGGAAGTGTACGGCACCTGAGCACGTTACGGAGCACTCACTGGTCAAAAGAACTGGACTTGGGCCGCTGGTGACCTAGTGGTTGGCATGCATGCCCAATGTATATAGGCTGTGGTCCTCCAGGCGGTCTGCCCGGGTTCAGGTCCAACCTGTGGCTCCTTTCATTAAAGGCGGGAAAAGCCTCGTGTCTCTCTCTGACCGACTGGTTTTGTTCTTAAAAGTCGACATCAAAATAAAAACTCAGCTCCTGATTGGTCCTCGCTGATTGTCCCATGAGTGATAATTACAAGATGTGTCTATATTTAGATCTTCACAATAAACCTCCATGTTTGTAGTTTGTGAATGTTTGTGTTTCTGTGTCTCAGCGCTGGATCGCTCAGGAAACGAGCCCGGAGGAGTACGAGGCCGAAGGTAAATCCAGTCCGAGTCTTTTATATGTATGATTTAGACGGTTTGATGTGTGACACCGTTTCTCCTGTAGGTCAGATGATTTAGACGGTTTGATGTGTGACACCGTTTCTCCTGTAGGTCAGATGATTTAGACGGTTTGATGTGTGACACCGTTTCTCCTGTAGGTCAGATGATTTAGACGGTTTGATGTGTGACACCGTTTCTCCTGTAGGTCAGATGCATCTCTGGAACCCGGACGAGCTGAGCACGCCGCGAGGAGCCGGCGTTCCTCTGTCCAGCTGTTTGGAGGATAGACTGCGTGAAGCGTGCAGCGAGCTGGAGATAGCTTGGGACGGATGTGCTGACCATAACGATCTGCTCGCTCTTTGTGAACACCTGGGCCTGGAGGTGAGAGGGGGCGGGGCCTTTCTTAGATCTCATCATGACAGACAGTTTGAATACACGCCACGACTGACCATGCCACGACTGACCACGCCACGACTCATGACTGACCACGACCCACGACTGACCACGCCACGACTGACCACACCACGACTCACACACACACACACACACACACACACACACACACACACACACACACACACACACACACACACACACACACACACACACACACAGAGACACAGACAGTTCGGGTGTTGTTCCAGTTGATAGTCTGAGCCCACAGTGGCTGAAATAGTCTGCCCCGTCGTCATGGTAATCCTTGGAGATCGATCAGAGTCAATCCACTTATCAAACTTGTTTTTGAAACGTTTAAGAAGCCTAGGAGCTCTGCCATTGGTCGGCACAGTTTCCTGTGTGTTCCTGGTCACAGCGGGTTTGTGTTTGTGTTTCAGATTCATGTGGACATTCTCCAAAATCTGACCGCAGACGGACTAATGAATGTTCACCAGTTTGTTTCCATGGTAACAAACCAAAACAAACCTCCAACGCCGTCCGCCTCCACGCCCTACAGACAACTGAAACGACACCACTCCACTCAGGTACGCCACCTGTTGGTTAAAGTCCTGATCTCTGTTTTAGTTTAAGATGTTTTTAAGAGACAACAAAGAAATCATCAAAAAGTTCAGAAAGATGTTTCAAGTGTTAAAGTTAAAAATACAGCTGGTATAAAGTCTGTTTCCTGGTTTCTGACCTATAGCCCTTCGATGAAGGAGGTCGTAGAATAGCGACTCCTTCGGCTCTGAGCAGCACCATCGGCATGCGCCTGTTCTCCACACTCGATGACGGCTCTGGTTTCACTGCGGTCGAGGAGGTCCTGGACGCCTGGATGGAGGAGGGAATAGAAAACAGCGCTGAGATCCTGCAGGTAACGTCAGGCCAGACGGTCTCCTCTGATGCAGATTCTCCAGAATTCAGATTCTTCAGAAGTTAACGTTCCATTTCACTTCGTTTCTCAGGCTCTGAATTTCAGCCTCAATGAAAAACTGAGTCTTAGTGACCTCACCATGGCACTAGAGAACGAGCTGCTCGTCACCAAGAATGGGATCCACCAGGCGGCGCTGGCGAGCTTCAAAGCTGAGATCAGATATTTGCTGTGAGTGAACCTTATTAGGATTCCAGTTAGGATTCTAACTTTTTGAATATGTACAATTGTCCTGACCTACATGCAGAGTCATCTATCACCTGTTGATCTTTTTTTGATCTTTGTTTTTGTCTCAGAGAGCAAGTTGACAGAGAGCTCAGGGAGAAGGAGAAAATCCGATCTGACCTTGAGAAAGCTGAGAAACAGAAAACTCAGCTGGCCACTGAGGTGGATGAGCATCACTCTGCCATCGAGCACATGAACAACCTCAATCTCAGGTGAAAAGCTCTCACTTCTTCTGTGTGAACATGTGATCAGGAGGAGTCTGACATGTGATGATGATGTTTAACCGTCTCAATCCTGAGGTGGTTCGATATCTCCATCTCACAGGTTGAGTATTTAAACCTACAAAGTTTGTGACCTCTGACCCCTGGACAGGTCTAACTAACTAAGTCATCTGAGCGCACATTCCCTTACAGAGAATGAACACATGAAGAGTCGTAGTGACTGAGTGAACACATGAAGAGTCATGGTGAACACGTGAAGTGTCGTAGTGACCGAGTGAACACATGAAGAGTCGTAGTGAACACATGAAGAGTCGTAGTGAACACATGAAGAGTCGTAGTGACCGAGTGAACACATGAAGGGTTGTAGTGAACACGTGAAGAGTCGTAGTGAACACATGAAGAGTCGTAGTGACTGAGTGAACACATGAAGAGTCATAGTGAACACGTGAAGTGTCGTAGTGACCGAGTGAACACATGAAGAGTCGTAGTGAACACATGAAGAGTCGTAGTGACCGAGTGAACACATGAAGGGTTGTAGTGAACACGTGAAGAGTCGTAGTGAACACATGAAGAGTCGTAGTGACTGAGTGAACACATGAAGAGTCATAGTGAACACGTGAAGTGTCGTAGTGACCGAGTGAACACATGAAGAGTCGTAGTGAACACATGAAGAGTCGTAGTGACCGAGTGAACACATGAAGGGTTGTAGTGAACACGTGAAGAGTCGTAGTGACTGAGTGAACACATGGAGAGTCATAGTGAACACGTGAAGTGTCGTAGTGACAGAGTAAACACATGAAGAGTCGTAGTGAACACGTGAAGTGTCGTAGTGACAGAGTAAACACATGAAGAGTCGTAGTGAACACATGAAGAGTCGTAGTGACCGAGTGAACACATGAAGAGTCGTAGTGAACACATGAAGAGTTGTAGTGAACACGTGAAGAGTCGTAGTGACTGAGTGAACACATGAAGAGTCATAGTGAACACGTGAAGTGTCGTAGTGACAGAGTAAACACATGAAGAGTCGTAGTGACCGAGTGAACACATGAAGAGTCGTAGTGAACACGTGAAGAGTCGTAGTGAACACGTGAAGAGTCGTAGTGACCGAGTGAACACATGAAGAGTCGTAGTGAACATGTGAAGAGTCGTAGTGACCGAGTGAACAAATGAAGTGTCGTAGTGACCGAGTGAACACATGAAGAGTCGTAGTGAACACATGAAGTGTCGTAGTGACCGAGTGAACAAATGAAGTGTCGTAGTGACCGAGTGAACACATGAAGAGTCGTAGTGAACACATGAAGAGTCGTAGTGAACAAGTGAAGAGTCGTAGTGACCGAGTGAACACATGAAGAGTCGTAGTGAACACATGAAGAGTCGTAGTGACCAAGTGAAGAGTCGTAGTGAACACATGAAGAGTCGTAGTGACCGAGTGAACACATGAAGAGTCGTAGTGAACACATGAAGAGTCATAGTGAACACATGAAGTGTCGTAGTGAACAAGTGAAGAGTCGTAGTGAACACATGAAGAGTCGTAGTGAACAAGTGAAGAGTCGTAGTGACCGAGTGAACACATGAAGAGTCGTAGTGAACACATGAAGAGTCGTAGTGACCAAGTGAAGAGTCGTAGTGAACACATGAAGAGTCGTAGTGACCGAGTGAACACATGAAGAGGCGTAGTGAACACATGAAGAGTCATAGTGAACACATGAAGTGTCGTAGTGAACAAGTGAAGAGTCGTAGTGAACACATGAAGAGTCGTAGTGAACAAGTGAAGAGTCTTAGTGACCGAGTGAACACATGAAGAGTCGTAGTGAACACATGAAGAGTCGTAGTGACCGAGTGAACACATGAAGAGTCGTAGTGAACACATGAAGAGTCGTAGTGACCGAGTGAACACATGAAGAGTCGTAGTGAACACATGAAGAGTCGTAGTGAACAAGTGAAGAGTCGTAGTGATCGAGTGAACACATGAATTGTCGTAGTGACCGAGTGAACACATGAAGAGTCGTAGTGAACACATGAAGTGTCGTAGTGACCGAGTGAACACATGAAGAGTCGTAGTGAACACATGAATTGTCGTAGTGACCGAGTGAACACATGAAGAGTCGTAGTGAACACATGAAGAGTCGTAGTGAACAAGTGAAGAGTCGTAGTGATCGAGTGAACACATGAATTGTCGTAGTGACCGAGTGAACACATGAAGAGTCGTAGTGAACACATGAAGTGTCGTAGTGACCGAGTGAACACATGAAGAGTCGTAGTGAACACATGAATTGTCGTAGTGACCGAGTGAACACATGAAGAGTCGTAGTGAACACATGAAGAGTCGTAGCGAACACATGAAGTGTCGTAGTGACCGAGTGAACACATGAAGAGTCGTAGTGAACAAGTGAAGAGTCGTAGTGAACACATGAAGAGTCGTAGTGACCGAGTGAACACATGAAGAGTCGTAGTGAACACATGAAGAGTCGTAGCGAACACATGAAGTGTCGTAGTGACCGAGTGAACACATGAAGAGTCGTAGTGAACACATGAAGAGTTGTAGTGAACACGTGAAGAGTCGTAGTGACTGAGTGAACACATGAAGAGTCATAGTGAACACGTGAAGTGTCGTAGTGACAGAGTAAACACATGAAGAGTCGTAGTGAACACATGAAGAGTCGTAGTGACCGAGTGAACACATGAAGAGTCGTAGTGAACACATGAAGAGTCGTAGTGCCGAGTGAAGAGTCGTAGTGAACAAGTGAAGAGTCGTAGTGACCGAGTGAACACATGAAGAGTCGTAGTGAACACATGAAGAGTCGTAGTGACCAAGTGAAGAGTCGTAGTGAACACATGAAGAGTCGTAGTGAACACATGAAGAGTCGTAGTGAACACATGAAGTGTCGTAGTGACCGAGTGAACACATGAAGAGTCGTAGTGAACACATGAATTGTCGTAGTGACCGAGTGAACACATGAAGAGTCGTAGTGAACACATGAAGTGTCGTAGTGACCGAGTGAACACATGAAGAGTCGTAGTGAACACATGAAGAGTCGTAGTGAACAAGTGAAGAGTCGTAGTGAACACATGAAGAGTCGTAGTGAACAAGTGAAGAGTCGTAGTGAACACATGAAGAGTCGTAGTAAACACATGAAGAGTCGTAGTGACCGAGTGAACACATGAAGAGTCGTAGTGAACACATGAAGTGTCGTAGTGACCGAGTGAACACATGAAGAGTCGTAGTGAACACATGAAGAGTTGTAGTGAACACGTGAAGAGTCGTAGTGACTGAGTGAACACATGAAGAGTCATAGTGAACACGTGAAGTGTCGTAGTGACAGAGTAAACACATGAAGAGTCGTAGTGAACACATGAAGAGTCGTAGTGAACACATGAAGAGTCGTAGTGACCGAGTGAACACATGAAGAGTCGTAGTGAACACATGAAGAGTCGTAGCGAACACATGAAGTGTCGTAGTGACCGAGTGAACACATGAAGAGTCGTAGTGAACACATGAAGAGTTGTAGTGAACACGTGAAGAGTCGTAGTGACTGAGTGAACACATGAAGAGTCATAGTGAACACGTGAAGTGTCGTAGTGACAGAGTAAACACATGAAGAGTCGTAGTGAACACATGAAGAGTCGTAGTGAACACATGAAGAGTCGTAGTGAACACATGAAGAGTCGTAGTGAACAAGTGAAGAGTCGTAGTGAACAAGTGAAGAGTCGTAGTGAACAAGTGAAGAGTCGTAGTGAACACATGAAGAGTCGTAGTGGCCGAGTGAAGAGTCGTAGTGAACAAGTGAAGAGTCGTAGTGACCGAGTGAACACATGAAGAGTCGTAGTGAACACATGAAGAGTCGTAGTGACCAAGTGAAGAGTCGTAGTGAACACATGAAGAGTCGTAGTGAACACATGAAGTGTCGTAGTGATCGAGTGAACACATGAAGTGTTGTAGTGAACACATGAAGAGTCGTAGTGACCGAGTGAACACATGAAGAGTCGTAGTGAACACATGAAGAGTCGTAGTGACCGAGTGAACACATGAAGAGTCGTAGTGAACAAGTGAAGAGTCGTAGTGATCGAGTGAACACATGAATTGTCGTAGTGACCGAGTGAACACATGAAGAGTCGTAGTGAACACATGAAGTGTCGTAGTGACCGAGTGAACACATGAAGAGTCGTAGTGAACACATGAATTGTCGTAGTGACCGAGTGAACACATGAAGAGTCGTAGTGAACACATGAAGAGTCGTAGCGAACACATGAAGTGTCGTAGTGACCGAGTGAACACATGAAGAGTCGTAGTGAACAAGTGAAGAGTCGTAGTGAACACATGAAGAGGCGTAGTGACCAAGTGAAGAGTCGTAGTGAACACATGAAGAGTCGTAGTGACCGAGTGAACACATGAAGAGTCGTAGTGAACACATGAAGAGTCGTAGTGAACACATGAAGTGTCGTAGTGATCGAGTGAACACATGAAGTGTTGTAGTGAACACATGAAGAGTCGTAGTGACCGAGTGAACACATGAAGAGTCGTAGTGAACACATGAAGAGTCGTAGTGACCGAGTGAACACATGAAGAGTCGTAGTGATCGAGTGAACACATGAATTGTCGTAGTGACCGAGTGAACACATGAAGAGTCGTAGTGAACACATGAAGAGTCGTAGTGAACAAGTGAAGAGTCCTAGTGAACAAGTGAAGAGTCGTAGTGACTGAGTGAACACATGAAGAGTCATAGTGAACACATGAATTGTCGTAGTGACCGAGTGAACACATGAAGAGTTGTAGTGAACACGTGAAGAGTCGTAGTGACTGAGTGAACACATGAAGAGTCATAGTGAACACGTGAAGTGTCGTAGTGACAGAGTAAACACATGAAGAGTCGTAGTGAACACATGAAGAGTCGTAGTGACCGAGTGAACACATGAAGAGTCGTAGTGAACACATGAAGAGTCGTAGTGAACACGTGAAGAGTCGTAGTGACCGAGTGAACAAATGAAGTGTCGTAGTGACCGAGTGAACACATGAAGAGTCGTAGTGAACACATGAAGAGTCGTAGTGACCGAGTGAACACATGAAGAGTCGTAGTGAACACATGAAGAGTCGTAGTGAACACGTGAAGAGTCGTAGTGACCGAGTGAACACATGAAGTGTCGTAGTGACCGAGTGAACACATGAAGAGTCGTAGTGAACACATGAAGAGTCGTAGTGAACAAGTGAAGAGTCGTAGTGAACACATGAAGAGTCGTAGTGAACAAGTGAAGAGTCGTAGTGAACACATGAAGAGTCGTAGTGAACAAGTGAAGAGTCGTAGTGAACACATGAAGAGTCGTAGTGAACACATGAAGAGTCGTAGTGACCGAGTGAACACATGAAGAGTCGTAGTGAACACATGAAGAGTCGTAGTGACCGAGTGAACACATGAAGAGTCGTAGTGAACACATGAAGAGTTGTAGTGAACACGTGAAGAGTCGTAGTGACTGAGTGAACACATGAAGAGTCATAGTGAACACGTGAAGTGTCGTAGTGACAGAGTAAACACATGAAGAGTCGTAGTGAACACATGAAGAGTCGTAGTGACCGAGTGAACACATGAAGAGTCGTAGTGAACACATGAAGAGTCGTAGCGAACACATGAAGAGTCGTAGTGACCGAGTGAACACATGAAGAGTCGTAGTGAACACATGAAGAGTTGTAGTGAACACGTGAAGAGTCGTAGTGACTGAGTGAACACATGAAGAGTCATAGTGAACACGTGAAGTGTCGTAGTGACAGAGTAAACACATGAAGAGTCGTAGTGAACACATGAAGAGTCGTAGTGAACACATGAAGAGTCGTAGTGAACAAGTGAAGAGTCGTAGTGACCGAGTGAACACATGAAGAGTCGTAGTGAACACATGAAGAGGCGTAGTGACCAAGTGAAGAGTCGTAGTGAACACATGAAGAGTCGTAGTGACCGAGTGAACACATGAAGAGTCGTAGTGAACACATGAAGAGTCGTAGTGAACACATGAAGTGTCGTAGTGATCGAGTGAACACATGAAGTGTTGTAGTGAACACATGAAGAGTCGTAGTGACCGAGTGAACACATGAAGAGTCGTAGTGAACACATGAAGAGTCGTAGTGACCGAGTGAACACATGAAGAGTCATAGTGAACAAGTGAAGAGTCGTAGTGATCGAGTGAACACATGAATTGTCGTAGTGACCGAGTGAACACATGAAGAGTCGTAGTGAACACATGAAGAGTCGTAGTGAACAAGTGAAGAGTCCTAGTGAACAAGTGAAGAGTCGTAGTGAATACATGAAGTGTCGTAGTGACCGAGTGAACACATGAAGAGTTGTAGTGAACACGTGAAGAGTCGTAGTGACTGAGTGAACACATGAAGAGTCATAGTGAACACGTGAAGTGTCGTAGTGACAGAGTAAACACATGAAGAGTCGTAGTGACCGAGTGAACACATGAAGAGTCGTAGTGAACACATGAAGAGTCGTAGTGAACACGTGAAGAGTCGTAGTGACCGAGTGAACAAATGAAGTGTCGTAGTGACCGAGTGAACACATGAAGAGTCGTAGTGAACACATGAAGAGTCGTAGTGAACAAGTGAAGAGTCGTAGTGAACACATGAAGAGTCGTAGTGAACACATGAAGAGTCGTAGTGAACAAGTGAAGAGTCGTAGTGAACACATGAAGAGTCGTAGTGGCCGAGTGAAGAGTCGTAGTGAACAAGTGAAGAGTCGTAGTGACCGAGTGAACACATGAAGAGTCGTAGTGAACACGTGAAGAGTCGTAGTGAACAAGTGAAGAGTCGTAGTGAACAAGTGAAGAGTCGTAGTGAACACATGAAGAGTCGTAGTGAACAAGTGAAGAGTCGTAGTGAACAAGTGAAGAGTCGTAGTGAACACATGAAGTGTCGTAGTGACCGAGTGAACATATGAATTGTCGTAGTGACCGAGTGAACACATGAAGAGTCGTAGTGAACACATGAAGAGTCGTAGTGAACAAGTGAAGAGTCGTAGTGAACAAGTGAAGAGTCGTAGTGAACAAGTGAAGAGTCGTAGTGAACAAGTGAAGAGTCGTAGTGAACAAGTGAAGAGTCGTAGTGAACAAGTGAAGAGTTGTAGTGACCGAGTGAACACATGAAGAGTTGTAGTGAACACATGAAGATCGTAGTGAACACATGAAGAGTCGTAGTGACCGAGTGAACACATGAAGTGTCGTAGTGACCGAGTGAACACATGAAGAGTCGTAGTGAACACATGAAGAGTCGTAGTGACCGAGTGAACACATCAAGAGTCGTAGTGAACACATGAAGTGTCGTAGTGACCGAGTGAACACATGAAGAGTCGTAGTGATCGAGTGAGCACATGAAGTGTCGTAGTGACCGAGTGAACACATGAAGAGTCGTAGTGAACACATGAAGAGTCGTAGTGAACAAGTGAACATGAAGAGTCGTAGTGAACACATGAAGAGTCGTAGTGACAGAGTGAACACATGAAGAGTCGTAGTGAACACATGAAGAGTCGTAGTGACAGAGTGAACACATGAAGAGTCGTAGTGAACACGTGAAGAGTCGTAGTGACTGAGTGAACACATGAAGAGTCGTAGTGAACACATGAAGAGTCGTAGTGAACAAGTGAACATGAAGAGTCGTAGTGAACACATGAAGAGTCGTAGTGACTGAGTGAACACATGAAGAGTCGTAGTGACAGAGTGAACACATGAAGAGTCGTAGTGAACACGTGAAGAGTCGTAGTGACAGAGTGAACACATGAAGAGTCGTAGTGAACACGTGAAGAGTCGTAGTGACTGAGTGAACACATGAAGAGTCGCAGTGAACACATGAAGAGTCAATGTGACTGAGTGAACACATGAAGTGTCGCAGTGAACACATGAAGAGTCAATGTGACTGAGTGAACACATGAAGAGTCGCAGTGAACACATGAAGAGTCGTAGTGAACACATGAAGAGTCGCAGTGAACACATGAAGAGTCGTAGTGAACACATGAAGAGTCGTAGTGAACACATGAAGAGTCGCAGTGAACACATGAAGAGTCGTAGTGAACACATGAAGAGTCATTGTGACTGAGTGAACACATGAAGTGTCGTAGTGACTGATTGATGTTCATTTACTCCCACAGTGTGTCTGTAGAACATCTCTTACATCATGCTGTTTCTCTTCCTTTGAGTTACTGAATGTAAACTACGACTGTAATGGCGTCTCTGCCTCGTGGTCACACAGGAAGCTGGAGCAGGAGCACAGAGAGAAGCTGGCAGCCGTCCGGTCGGAGCTGACCAAAGAGATGGACCTGATGCAGCAGCAGGCTGGCCTGCAGCGCGAGGAGCTGGAGGCGGAGGTGGAGAAGATCAAAGAGGATGAATGTTTTCTCAGAGACCACCTGTCCATCTCTGTCAAGGTACCAAACAGAACCACATGCTGATGTGTTTCCTTCACAACATGTAGCTGAAACTGATTTAACAAACAGACATTACAGCCTGTTTGTCATTTCAAACGAAACCATCTTTGATTTTTATATTTCTGTAAGTGAACATGAGGTCATCAGTGTTTGTTTGTAGGAGAACAGACGTCTGGAGATGGAGCTGCTGGACAGCACCGACAAACTTGAGGAGGCTCAGATCCAGATCAGCAAACTGCAGAGCAGTTTGGACAACATTATAAAAGAGAGGGTGAGAAACCTGAACGTGTCACAGAGACATTTCACCTCTGACCTTTGTGTCTTTTATTTCTTTCAAACTCCTCCCCTTTGATGTCTTCACTTCCTGTAGTTTGGAGACTTGGACCTTGGCAGTGCAGACCTCTTCCTGCAGGAGGAACGTATTAAACAGCTCCGCAGCAGCTACGAGGCTCAGTGCAGGGTAACTGTCTTTAAGGTGAAGAAGTGAAACACTGAGAAAGGTCAGAGGTCATGTGTAACGCTCTCTGTTGTTGTCAGGAGCTGCAGGATCGAATCGACGAGCTGCAGTCAGAGCTGCAGGAGTTTCACGGCCTCGGACGAGTTCTGCAGCCCGGACAAAAAAGTCTCTGTGAGGAGCTGGAGACCAAGAGCCCGGGCATGGAGTCTGATCCAGGTTGGTGTGATGACACACACACACGCACGCGCACGCGCACACGCACACGCACACGCACACGCACACGCACACGCACACGCACACACACTGATCTTTGAGTTTAACTTTTTGCAGGAATCGGCTCAGAGGACGTTCAGACGTTCAGCATGAGCCTGGAGGCAGAGATGATGTTGGAGCAGCTGAAGGAGCAGCACCTTCAGGAGATGGAGGATTTAAGAAAGCAGCTGGAGAGGAAGGTGAGCGGAGAAGAAACCTGCAGGGTTTTACTGTGTTGTGAACTGGAGCAGAAAAGAGCAGTGAGGTCCAGGTAGTAAACCAACAAGATATAAATCCCCTAGATGGGCAGTCTCACACAGACCTCCAGCTGACCTTAGTCTCCTTCAGATCTCTGCCCAGCTGCTCTGATGTCATCGTCTGTCTCTGACATCATATATATGTTTATAGTTCTTAAATAACTCACACAATCGTTTTCTTCTTCTTTGTTTTGATCTGCTGCTCTGGCTCAAACTGTTTCACTGCTCCACACTGCCCCTCATGGTCCCTGGAGGTATTACAACATCTGGTCCATATCTGTTAGCTTCCAGAAAATGTTCAGAAGTATGAAGGACATGAACACAGAGCACGGACTGAAGGCTCCGACTGTATCTGTATGTGTGTGTCAGACGGAGATGCTAAATGAGCCTTTACAGGGGTTTATGCTAAGCTAAGCTAAGTCATTTAGCTACCTTCTTTACATTATAAATATAATATTTATAAATAAATAAATAAATGTAATACGGTCTGGAGTTGACTGGTGTATTGCTGTGCAGTTGAAGATTGATAACAAAGTGTTCACTATTTTGAATGTATACACACATGAGTGTCAGGAAAATAAGGATGTATACTTGAACAGTCTTGCATTTATTAACTCATTTATTCATGACAATCAGTCTAGTAGTGTTTTTGTGGTTGGTGATATGAATGCTGATATTTCAGATAGAAGGTCAATATTTGCTAAACATATGTCACAGTTTTGTGATGATAACAGACTTTTATTATCCAGCCAAATCCTTTACCGGATTATCATACTATGGGAAAACTGATATCCTTCTTAGTGGTGTATATTTACCGAGAGGTGCAATTATGTGTTCTGATGTAAACTGTAATGACATTTCTCACTGTAAAGATCTCTGTGTACAATGATATTGTTGGAGCGGTGTATGAGGCCAGCAGGTCATATCATAATTATTCTAAAAGGGTAAATTCTAACACCAAGCCAGGTTGGAGAAAGCATGTAGCTGCTCATCATGCAGAAGCTAAGGAGGCATTTAAAGCTTGGGTTCAGGAAGGCCGACCCACACAGTCCTGGATTATAAAAAGCTTACTCTCTCTTTAAGGTATAAATATGCAGTTCGTTATATATCCAAAAATGAACAAATGATGAGAGCAGACTCTACGGCTGAAAAGCTGCTAAATAAGAATGTCATTGAATTTTGGAAGGAGGTGAGAACTCTAAACAGGAGCAATACATTGCTACCTAGTACAATAGAGGGAGTCTCTGGAGCTGATAACATCGCTGAATTGTGGAAACAGAATTACTCGGCTTTATTTAATTGTGTTAAAAGTGACCCATATAAAGTGGGTAATGTTGCCAACAGGGATGCAGTAGGAATCACAACCATTGAGGTATCTGAAGCTATTGCACAATTATCTGTAAATAAAGTAAGTGGCTCAGATCAGATCACTGCAGAGCACCTTAAGTTTGCGAGCCCCAAAGAGGCCGCTCTACTTGTCATATGTTTCACTGGCTTTATGACACATGGGCTGATGCTCGACTCCATGTTGGCTGTAACTCTTGTGCCTGTCATTTAGAACAAAGCAGGCAAGATTGGGAGCATGGACAATTATAGACCAATCGCACTGGCAAGTGTGATTTCCAAAGTTCTGGAGAGTATTCTTTTAGATCGATTGGGTGATTATATTAATACCAGAGACAATCAGTTTGGTTTCAGTTGTGTATCTGTTCTAATTGTCGTTATTGATGCCTCTAAGGTATTTGATAGAGTCAATCACCAGAAGCTATTAAAAAAATTAAATCCAAAGGGTGTACCTGCTAGCATTATAAGAATACTTGCATACCGGTATGCTAACCAGAGTATACAAGTCAGATGGGGCAGTAGTGTCTCTGGTCCCTTCAGGGTTGGTAATGGAGTTCGACAAGGGGGGCTACTGTCACCAGCCCTCTTCAACCTGTATATGAACGATTTATCTGAACGGCTGTAGAACGGGCTGTATGATTGGCAACACTGTGATAAACCATCTCATGTATGCGGATGATTTGACCATTTTCTCTCCCAGTAGTGCTGGCTTTCAGCAGCTGTTAAATGTGTGTACAGAATATGGTGCCAAACATGATGTGCAATATAACTCAGATAAGAGCAGTGTGATGATATGTAGGGCAAAGGGAGATAAGGACCTCCACTTTCCACAGTTTTATCTTTCTGGGGAAGAACTTCGTGTTTGTTATAAAGCCAAATACCTCGGACACTTTACAACACATCAAATGTCTGACGATGATGACATTTTTAGACAGTGTCGTACATTATATGCCCAGGCCAATATTTTGGCAAAACATTTTTTACTATTTTTTTTTACTTATTTTTTGTATTGTATGTCTTTTAAAATGGACCTTGAGTCTAATAATAAAAGTTGATGATGATGATGACATTCTTTGCATCAACAGATCAGTGAGTTTGATCAGATGGTAGAGAAGCAGAGGGCCACACACGACGAGCAGAAGGCCGCCTTAGCGCTGCAGCACCAGCAGGAGGTCCAGGCTCTGAGGGAGGAGACGGATCGTTTTCAGGTCCAGACTCAGGAGCTCCAGAGCCGGCTGCAGGAGGCTCATCAGGAGCGGACGCAGGCCGAGGAGAGGAAGGAGCTTGAGGACCTGCAGGAGGTGAAACGTCTCAGACAACAGCTGCTGGAGACACACACTCACAGCGCTCACCTGGAGGAGCGGCTGAAGACTCTAGAAGATCAGCAGGAGCAGAGCATGGAGGAGCTGAGGAGACAGCATGCTGAGGAGATCAGGAGACTGGAGGAGGAGCATGTGGAGATCTGTGAAGACAGACTGAGAGAGGAGAGACAGAAAGTACAGGGAGAGAAGGCAGAGTTAGAGAAAAGACTGTTAGAGGATTATCAGACAGAGAAGAAGCTGCTGCAGCAGAGCCAAGAGGAGGAGCTGAAGATCAGAGGAGAGGAGGTGAAGAGGAGATGTGAGGAGAAGTGTGAGGAGGTAGTGCAGAGCCTGACGGAGAAGTGGCACAGAGAGAAGGCTCAGTTAGACGAGCACAACAACGAGGCTCTGCAGCTGCTGTTAGAGGAGGAGATGTTGAGGCTGGTCAGGGAGCAGGAGGAGAAGGAGGCCACGCTCAGGGAGCAGCTGGAGGAGCGCCATGAGGAGGCTCTGCTGAGAGAGAGAGGGAGGGTACAGGTGAGGGAGGAGCAGCTGGAGGAGGAGAGGGAGCAGCTGGAGAGAGAGAAGGAGAAGGAGGAGAAGAGGCTGCAGGTGTTGATTTCAGAGGAGAGGGCTCTTCTAGAGGAACGCCACCGAGAGGCCGTGAAGGAGCTGACGGCCAATCACAGTGAGGAGAGGGAGGCCCTGAGCAGCACGCTGGACAAACTACGAGAAGACATCGTCCACGAGAGGTGAGACTTCCTGTTTGTAATGTCTGACCTCACTCAGGTGCCACTTTGATATCAAACACAACTCATTCCTGTTTCCATCACACAAACATCATGGAGACGTTTTCTCGTTTTCTCCTGAACGCAGAGCACCACAGACGTTAGCTCTTAAAAAAAAACACAACGAGTTCAAACTGACAGCACTGAAAAGTAAAGTCGCCTCAAAGCTTTTAAGATTTCATTAAAAATCGGTGTCGGTATCGTTGTCGGTATTGTCGCCGGTGTGGTCAGTTGAAGGTTTTATCTGAGTGTGTGTTTCACGATGACGAGCTCAGACTGTTGATGAAATAAAAGAATGTTTACTAATAATAAATAAACATTTTAAATACTAATCAGGAGAGAAATCCAGAGCAGCTTCACGCTGAGAATCAAAGAAGTAGAAGATCGTTTCTCAGGCGACCACGAGGCGCTGGAAAAGCGTTTCCAAGCGGATGTCATGAGACTGGAACAGAACTACCAAACCCAGCTGAAGGCTCTCTCTGACGGCCACGCCCAGCAGGAGCTCCTGTGGGAGGCTCAGATCCAGGAGGCGGAGGAGCACAGGGGACTGCTGGAGGAGAGGGAACGCCACGAGCTGCAGGCTGGTCATCAACAGGAAGTAGAAGAACTGGTCATGAAAAACCAGCAGCTGCAGAACGAGCTGCTGGACTTCATCAGCATGGCTCAGACCAAAGAGATCGAGCTCAGCATGCAGCTCAACGACCTCCATAACCGTCTGCAGGAGAGCCTGAAGACCAAAGACGAGCTCCTGGCTCAGGCGGAGAAGAAAGCCTGTGAGATCGAACTCCTTCTCAACCAGACGGTGGATGACTTTAAACACGAGAGAGAAGAACATGTGAGCAGCCAGACGCAGCTTCAGACTCAGTACAACCAGCTGCTGAGCATGTCTGAGAGGCAGAGCGCCGAGCGGATGGATCTGCTGCATGAGCGCGACCATTGGAAGTTACGGATGGAGGAGATGGAGATGCTGCTGGAACAGGCCACGCTGGACTTTGAGGTTGAGAGGGAGGAGCTACAGGAACGCACATCAATGCTTCAGAGAAACCAGGAGAAAGAGAGAGAGGAGCTGGTGGCAGAGAGACATGCTCTCCAAAAGAGAGTGAGAGACTTAGACATGAAGCTAAGACAGGCTTTGTCTTACACAGAACATGTTATGGAAGGAGAAGACAGAGAAACATGGAGGGATCCTCCTGACCTGGATAATAACCATTCAGAGAGAGAGGGGGAGGGGTCATCTCCTCAGGAAGTCCGTAGTTCAGATGAAGATACTCAGAACAAAGAGGCTCTGGAGTCGTTTGAGGAGGAGGATCCCGTGGGGCTGGAGGACTCAGCTGACCCACATAAAGTGTGTGTGGGTTCTCCAGAGAGGCCTTTCAGCGTGAGAGAAGCTGGACATGTTTGTGATTCTGAGGGTGACTGTGCACCTGACGCTGTGGACAGTCTGGATGAAGGAAAGGAGAGGGAGCCTTCAGTGGTGAGACCACAGGCCACAGAGGAAAACGTCCTCCTGCTGGAGAAGATTTCTCTGCTTCAACAGAAGACGGAGCTGCTGGAGAATCTTCTGGCTCACAACAGTGAAAAGATGAAAAATGGCCAACAGATACTGGAGGAGAACTATGGCCTGAAAGTGAAGATGCTGCTGTTAATGGAGCACGTGAAAGAGCTGGAGATCAAGGCATTGAAGATGACTGACCTGCAGATCCGATATGAAGACTGCTTGTGTGAAAACTCCAAAGTGAAGGAGCAGAATGTGGAGCTGGAGAAGAGAGTGTGGAGCCTGGAGAGCAGGATGAGTCTGTTCCCGGAGCTCCAGGATCAGGTGGTTCTGGTGGATGAGATCAGCAGGATGAGGGACGAGAACAATAAACTCTCTGAGCTGTTTGCTGAGCTGGAGAGGAGCAGGGAGAGTCTGTTGGCCGAACGCCCGGACACCGGAGCGCCCGAGAGCCTGGCTGACGAGTCCCTGCTGGATCAAGATCTGGAGGGATGCTGTGAGGAGTTTGAGGAGCAGAACAGCAGACTCCGCCGAGCCATCACGGAGCTCCAGAGCAGGTCTCAGACATTAAACCAAACAACACAGACGCAGAGGTAACGCAGAGAAACACTGTGATCCCGCCCCCTCTGAGTCCCTCCCCCTTCAAGTCCCGCCCCCTCTGAGTCGCTGACCCTCAGAGTCCCACCCCTCTGAATCCCGCCCCCTCCAAGTCCCGCCCCTCTGAGTACCGCCCCCTCTGAATCCCACCCCTTCAAGTCTCTGACCCTGTGCTGCTGTGATTCCTGAAGCCTGGTAATCTTTTTGTCCCGGACTCATGGTAGAGCTTTATTAGGATCCTGAACCCGTCTAGTGATACGTCCTGTAGATCCACGAGGAACGTTCATGAATCATAGAATAAGATACTTTCAGTGTGTTTCCTCCACAAATGTTTTTCTTTGTAGTTCTGATCTCGTGTTCTGTCTACAGATCTGAGACCAGCCGCCTGGCTGAAGAAAACTTTGTCCTCAGGAAGAAGATCACCACGCTGAAGGAAGAGGACCTGAAGGAGGCCCAGGGAGAGCTAATGTAGGAACACACCCTCACTAACTCTCAATGTTGTTTTTATTTCATCATCACATTTTCTATTTCTGTTTGATTCCAGACAAAAGTTGGAGCACTTAAAGAAAGGGAAGATGTCAGCTCAGAGGGTGGCAGAGAACCTTAAGAAACAGGTGAAGTATGAGGTCACTAAGACGAAGTCTGTATGAACCGTGGGCGGAGTCTCAGTGATGTCATCAGTGTCTGTGAAGAGGAGTTATGAAGCTGAGTGATGGAAGAAATACTGACTCCAACACTCGTTAGATCAATCTAGAAAAAGTCAGGTAGGCAGAGACAAACAGCTGACACACCCCCACCTGTCATTCAAATAGGCCACGCCCCTAATCATTTGTGACTCTAATCCTTAATATCATTAATCAGATGAGTTATACAAAATGTGTGTTCCAGACTGTAAACATATTTATTGTGGGGTGCAAGCAGACAGCCTCTAGTGGACGCTTGAGGAACTGCAGTGTTTTTGCACTTCTGCTTCATTTGGAACTCCCGAGGTTTCTGTCGGGTTTCAGTCATGCTAGCAGCTGTGTGAAGATGTACTTTGCTAAAAGCTAACATGCTAACAGCAGTATTTACATGACTCTGTGACTCCACCTGAGACTCCACCTGAGACTCTGTGACTCCACCTGAGACTCTGAGACTCCACCTGAGACTCTGAGGATCCACCTGAGACTCTGAGACTCCACCTGAGACTCAGAGGATCCACCTGAGACTCTGTGACTCTACCTGAGACTCTGTGACTCCACCTGAGACTCATAGGATCCACCTGAGACTCTGTGACTCTACCTGAGACTCTGTGACTCCACCTGAGACTCTGTGACTCCACCTGAGACTCTGTGACTCCACCTGAGACTCTGTGACTCCACCTGAGACTCTGAGGATCCACCTGAGACTCTGTGACTCCACCTGAGACTCTGAGGATCCACATGAGACTCTGAGGATCCACCTGAGACTCTGTGACTCTACCTGAGACTCTGTGACTCCACCTGAGACTCAGAGGATCCACCTGAGACTCTGTGACTCTACCTGAGACTCTGTGACTCCACCTGAGACTCAGAGGATCCACCTGAGACTCTGTGACTCCACCTGAGACTCTGAGGATCCACATGACACTCTGTGACTCCACCTGAGACTCTGTGACTCCACCTGAGACTCTGAGGATCCACCTGAGACTCTGAGACTCCACCTGAGACTCTGTGACTCTACCTGAGACTCTGTGACTCCACCTGAGACTCATAGGATCCACCTGAGACTCTGTGACTCTACCTGAGACTCTGTGACTCTACCTGAGACTCTGTGACTCCACCTGAGACTCTGTGACTCCACCTGAGACTCTGTGACTCCACCTGAGACTCTGTGACTCCACCTGAGACTCTGAGGATCCACATGAGACTCTGAGGATCCACCTGAGACTCTGTGACTCTACCTGAGACTCTGAGGATCCACCTGAGACTCTGTGACTCCACATGAGACTCTGAGGATCCACCTGAGACTCTGTGACTCCACCTGAGATGTTGTGACTCCAGCTGCGTCTCCACCCTGATCAGATCTCTTTCCCTCTTTTTATGCTGTTTGACACCAACAAAACTTGTTGGTCCACTGGGAGCACCGGGCGAGGTGTCAGGGCTCCCGGAGTGGCCTGTAACCTGTGGTTTGTGACTTCGTCCTTTGTTTACAGTCTGATTGACACAGGAGAATATAGAATGGTGATGGAGTCAAGCAACACCTTGTTCACACTCACACTAAACTCCAGGGACCATATTCACAAACATCCTGAGAATCCTCTCAGAGAGCTCCTAACTTAGACTCTGGTTGAGTAAGAGACAGAAACTTTTATTTTACTGAGGAGGCGTGGTCAACCCGTTGCTAGGTATGACACATTTTTTCAGAAGCTGTGATTGGTTGATCCAAAAAATTTATAAAAAAAGTCAAACAGAATATAGTCAGACATTGTATAATTATGAACTCTATGAAATTAGCAGATGTACTTTAAAAGTATATAAGCCACAAGATGTTTGAAATCACATGCCCACTTGTATAGCAGCTTCTTTACATGCTGATAGTTACATCAGCCTGTAAAGCGGACACTTTCCGCACTGTACAGACGAGACACCTTTTCATTCTCTGGAGGAAGGCTGCGGTACTCTTATAATGATAGTCGTCTTGTCCTGCAGATCAGCGAGCTGCGTCTGCAGAGCCAGCAGCTGGAGGACGAGAACGGGATGCTGTCCGAGAAAAACGCCCAAAACATTGTGGACATGGAGACTCTCCGACAGCAGCTGGCTGAGCTGATAAAGGACGAGGACCAGAACAAGGTAAACAGCTTTTGATGAGAGATTGATGGTCTTCATGGTGTGGCTGTCTGGTTGTAGTGGGTAGTTAATCGTGGTTGTTTTGTGTTAGCTGACAGCGTGTGTGTCTGCTCTGGAGGCTGAGCTGACCGCAGCTCTGGAGGATGCTGCAAAGCTTGAGGAGAGAAATGTCCAGCTGTCAGAGCAGCTTTCTGAGCTCAGAGAGAAGGTGAGCACCACACCATGGACACATGGACCCTACCCCTAATCCTGGAGGTCACAGCTCACAGGTGTACTGTATTGACCTCATCAATTTAAACAAATGGTACATTCACACACTGATGGTAGAGGCTGCTGTGTAAAGAGTCCATCAGTATTAACTCATCCATTCACACACTGATGGTAGAGGCTGCTGAGTAAAGAGTCCATCAGTATTAACTCATCCATTCATACACATTCATACACTGATGGTAGAGGCTGCTGAGTAAAGAGTCCATCAGTATTAACTCATCCATTCATACACATTCACACGCTGATGGTAGAGGCCGCTGAGTAAAGAGTCCATCAGTATTAACTCATCCATTCATACACATTCACACGCTGATGGTAGAGGCCGCTGAGTAAAGAGTCCATCAGTATTAACTCATCCATTCAAACACATTCACACACTGATGGTAGAGGCTGCTGTGTAAAGAGTCCATCAGTATTAACTCATCCATTCACACACTGATGGTAGAGGCTGCTGAGTAAAGAGTCCATCAGTATTAACTCATCCATTCATACACATTCATACACTGATGGTAGAGGCTGCTGAGTAAAGAGTCCATCAGTATTAACTCATCCATTCATACACATTCATACACTGATGGTAGAGGCTGCTGAGTAAAGAGTCCATCAGTATTAACTCATCCATTCATACACATTCACACGCTGATGGTAGAGGCCGCTGAGTAAAGAGTCCATCAGTATTAACTCATCCATTCATACACATTCACACACTGATGGTAGAGGCCGCTGAGTAAAGAGTCCATCAGTATTAACTCATCCATTCAAACACATTCACACACTGATGGTAGAGGCTGCTGTGTAAAGAGTCCATCAGTATTAACTCATCCATTCACACACATCCACACACTGATGGTAGAGGCTGCGGTGTGAAGCCTGTCAGGGACGTTGTCTTTGAGTCTGTGATCAGACCTACATGCTGACATGACTGTTTACTGCTGAGGTCCATAGAAGTCTTTAAAGATTTAAAATTCACAAAGAAACTGAAAAAGAAGATGTGACACAATGACGTTTCCAATGATGACCTGATTCTCTCCGTGTTCATCACAGAACCATGTTTTGGAGATGAGCCTGCACTCAAGCAGCCTCCAGAACACAAAGCTGTACAGAGAGGAGGTGTGTGGTCTGATGGAGCAGGACCAGCTGCTGCTGAGGAGGGAGAACGAGCGGCTTCAGGTCGAAGTTCACGACATCAGAGGAGACCTGCTGCAATCCAGAGAAAAGGTGAGACCAGGACCAGGACCAGAACCAGGGCTCTGGCTCATCCAGAGATACATGTGGCAGGGCCAGAAGGGTTATGGAGCCTGTTTGTAATCCAGTAGTAGAACTGACCAATCACGTATCAGCAGGCGTCTTCAGTAGGTCAGTGTGGAGAGAAACAGAATGAATGATCTCATGACTCGATCAGATATCTGCACATCAGAGCAGCTGACGGCCTCTTCTACATCCAACATTCACACCTGAGCAAAAAATCTGTCAATCAGCGTTTAGATGTCCTGACCTCCTTGAATGCCTCAGAAATGATGGCTTACTAACAAACATTTAAAGTAGTTTTCTTCTCCTCTTGAATATTAGAGAGCTTGAGGTCAAACTCCCTCAGGGTTAGTTGTTCTGAGCTCTGTGTTCACACTGATGGAACCATCCGTCTAACCTCTAACATTTCTCCTCTCCTTGTTCCTGATCTCTGATCCCTCTCACTGAACGTGTGCAGATCCATCAGCTCGATGCCACCATCTCGTCCCTGAAGCAGAACCGACAGCAGAGCCAATCGTCTGCGCTTCAGACCGCCTTGGAGCAGGAGAACGCCACTCTGAGGCGGGAGCTGGAGGCTCAGCGGGAGCTCAACAAGGTACAGATTCAGTAACTCCTGTTGTCCATGTTACTCATGTTTTTTATGTTGCTCATGTTGTTCATGTTGGTTCACGTTGTTGCATGTTGCATGATGTTACTTGTTGTTGCATGTTGCTCCTGTTGTTGCTCATGTTTTTGCTCAGACCGGTTTGATCTGGTTTCAGGGCTGTGAGGCGTCTCGGGGTCATGCAGACGTGGAAAGTCTTCAACAGGAGAACGAGGCGCTCCGAGCTCAAATGACTCGAATGTCTTCACAGCTGATGGAGGTAAACTCTTTAACTCTTCTAAATTATATTAACGAGGTCAAAGGTCAGGAGTGATAGGCTCCTTCTCATGTTGTCAAAGTATTCGTGCAATTTAAACAGTGACAGGAGTTTGTCTGCAGTTTTTGACGTCCTCCTTCTCCTCTTCCTCAACCGCCTCCTCTTCCTCACCCGTCTCCTCTTCCTCACCTGTCTCCTCTTCTGTCTTGTTCAGTCGTTTCAGGCTCAGTTGGTGGGACTTCTACCTCCGTCTCCTCACAGGATCCCCAGGGGGCAGCATCGAGCTGAAGATCCAGACAACCAGCAGGTACAGAAACACCTTACCCCGCTTTTCCTGTGTGTGTGTGTGTGCGTGTGTGTGCGTGCGTACGTGCGTGCGTGCGTGCGTGCGTGCGTGCGTGCGTGCGTGCGTGTTAACAGCTGCATGTCTACAGTCTGCTCGTTTTATATAAAACGATCATCCCTCAGACGACAAATTGGTCATGATCACCAGGTTAAGTCATAGTTATCATGGTTCTGTTATTCGTGGTCACCAGAGGTTAACTCATAGTTATCATAGTTCTGTTATTCGTGGTCACCAGAGGTTAACTCATAGTTATCATAGTTCTGTTATTCGTGGTCACCAGAGGTTAACTCATAGTTATCATAGTTCTGTTATTCGTGGTCACCAGAGGTTAAGTCATAGTTATCATAGTTCTGTTATTCGTGGTCACCAGAGGTTAACTCATAGTTATCATAGTTCTGTTATTCGTGGTCACCAGAGGTTAACTCATAGTTATCATAGTTCTGTTATTCGTGGTCACCAGAGGTTAACTCATAGTTATCATGGTTCTGTTATTCGTGGTCACCAGAGGTTAACTCATAGTTATCATGGTTCTGTTATTCGTGGTCACCAGAGGTTAAGTCATAGTTATCATAGTTCTGTTATTCGTGGTCACCAGAGGTTAAGTCATAGTTATCATAGTTCTGTTATTCGTGGTCACCAGAGGTTAAGTCATAGTTATCATAGTTCTGTTATTCGTGGTCACCAGAGGTTAAGTCATAGTTATCATAGTTCTGTTATTCGTGGTCACCAGAGGTTAAGTCATAGTTATCATAGTTCTGTTATTCGTGGTCACCAGAGGTTAAGTCATAGTTATCATGGTTCTGTTATTCGTGGTCACCAGAGGTTAAGTCATAGTTATCATGGTTCTGTTATTCGTGGTCACCAGAGGTTAAGTCATAGTTATCATGGTTCTGTTATTCGTGGTCACCAGAGGTTAGTTTTTCATAAAAACTCATAATTTCTCCGACACCTGATCAGAGAGTTGTTTAGTTTTTATCCTTGTACTCCTATGACCTCTGTGTTTGTAGCTGGATCTGTGGGAGTCTCTGTGTGCGTCACTAATCCACCTGAGATCCACCTGAGATCCACCTGAGCACCTGTCTGTCCTCATCACCTCCTGTGTGAAGTAGACATGTACTGGACAAGGGGTAGACTGAAAAGCTGCAATTTACCTAAAAGTACTTGAACCTACCCGAACATCCTTGAAGGTACCTGAACGTACCTTAATGTCCTGCAATATACCTAAACATACCTGAAAGTACCTGATTGTCCCTGAACATACCTGAAAGTACCTGAATGTCCCTGAACATACCTGAACATGTCTGAATATACCTGAACATGTCTGAATATACCTGAATATACCTGACTGTCCCTGAACCTACCTGAACGTACCTGAACCTACCTGAATGTCCCTGAACCTACCTGAACGTACCTGAACATACCTGAATGTCCCTGAACCTACCTGAACGTACCTGAACATACCTGAACATACCTGAACATACCTGAATGTCCCTGAACCTACCTGAACGTACCTGAACCTACCTGAATGTCCCTGAACCTACCTGAACGTACCTGAACATACCTGAACATACCTGAATGTCCCTGAACCTACCTGAACGTACCTGAACATACCTGAATGTCCCTGAACATACCTTGCAATAGATGAGTAAGTTAAAGCAGGTTCATGTAAATACTCAGACAGATAAATAACAATGTGAGCGTAAGCATTAGTAATCAATGTGAAAACACGTTCCTTTGTTAAACCTTTGTGACGGCCTGCTCATTCAGCTGACCTCTCTAGCTGTCGTAGATTAGAAGAAGAGGAAGGTGGCGCCGTGGTGAAGTGTTCCTGCCTTTGTCTCTCCAGGGGCCGATGGCGGAGCAGCGGGCAGCACACGCAGACAGCTACCGGCGGATCGGTGGACTCTAACACCGGCATTTGTCCTCGCTCATTCCTCTCTCTCGGTCCTCTGCAGGACTGGAGCCAGACTCTGAATGTGGTCTTTTCTGGATCCTTATAGGAGATCATGAACTGAAAGCAGGCCTGATTCACAGGCACCAATGTGTCATTGCATTTCTCTGCTGCTAGGTGGCAGCAAACACAGAAACAGCTCCTAAAATTAACCCCATGGGATTAGATTTTTTTTTAGATATATCTGAGGCCTCTTTTAAGGACAGCTGAGGAGCGATGTTGGGAGGAGAGAGAGTGGGGGACATGACGCAGCAAAGGGCTGAGGTTGGATTCAAACCCACGGCTACTGCGATGCGGACTACAGCCTACACACATGGGGCGCCCAACATAACTGCTTGTCTACCTGGAGCCCCAGGATTAGAATTTAAACAATGACCTTTCAGCTGCAGGTCATCTCAGTGTAATGGCCGATTATGAGGTCACAGCTTCAATGCAGGGAATGATTGCTGTGCAGGGTGAATGTTTTTATATTGTTGTGTTCTGCACTTTTTATCTTGTGTAAAACAGGGTCTATCTGTTCATCCTCAGAGGATCAGTCATCTACTTTAACCTGAGGAGACTCCTCCTTTAAACTGACTCCTCCTTTAAACTGAGGAGACTCCTCCTCCTTGAATGAATCCAGAATGATCAGCTGATGTGACGGAGTCCAGTCAGGGTCACATGAGGGTCAAAGCTTTGTTTGTTTGTTTTCTGCGCCATGTTTAGACTTTATTTTATTCATTTATTTTAATAAGCTGTATGGTTGGGTTGTCACATGATTCTATTAAAAATCTAATATCGTACCCGTTTGTTTCCACGGCAACAAAGATGTCCTAAACACCTGATATTGGATCATTTATAAATATTACAGACAAACTAACACTGACTCTGCACACAGTCTAAAATAAACACAAATGCTAATTTGTGTGATTTACAAGTTTGTCTGTAATATTTGGCGTTTTTTAAAGTTTCAGTACTTAGATTTCGTCAATCATTAAATTATCAGATGGTTTTAAAACTTGTGTAATCATGCTGACAACCTTAAAGAATTAATTAATTTATTAAATTATTATTTGTAGATGCATCATTTTCTACCTATTTATATTGTATTTATTTTGTTGGAATTTGTCCTGATCTCAGAAATAAAGATCTAATAAAGCTCCCCGCTCATTTAAAGAGGCGTGTCATGTTTTCTGTTCTCACCGGCTCGGAGGTCACTCAGAATAAAGGTGCTGGATGCTGATGTGGCTCACTGTGTTGTCAACAGGATGAGAGGGAGACCAAGATGAAGAACATGGAGGAGCGCATGAGGGAAGTCGAGCTGTCGCTGCGAAACGTCAAACTGCTGCTCAGAGAGAAGGTCTTTCAGCTCCGAGACCAGGTCAGTCCACATGGTTTCAGTCAGCTCCGAGACCAGGTCAGTCCACGTGGTTTCAGTACGCTCCGAGACCAGGTCAGTCCCTGTGGTTTCAGTCAGCTCAGAGACCAGGTCAGTCCCTGTGGTTTCAGTCAGCTCAGAGACCAGGTCAGTCCACGTGGTTTCAGTCAGCTCAGAGACCAGGTCAGTCCCTGTGGTTTCAGTCAGCTCTGAGACCAGGTCAGTCCACATGGTTTCAGTCAGCTCAGAGACCAGGTCAGTCCACGTGGTTTCAGTCAGCTCTGAGACCAGGTCAGTCCACGTGGTTTCAGTCAGCTCTGAGACCAGGTCAGTCCCTGTGGTTTCAGTCAGCTCCGAGACCAGGTCAGTCCCTGTGGTTTCAGTCAGCTCAGAGACCAGGTCAGTCCACGTGGTTTCAGTCAGCTCTGAGACCAGGTCAGTCCACGTGGTTTCAGTCAGCTCTGAGACCAGGTCAGTCCCTGTGGTTTCAGTCAGCTCCGAGACCAGGTCAGTCCACCTGGTTTCAGTCAGCTCAGAGACCAGGTCAGTCCACGTGGTTTAGCTCTTTGTCTCCTGACTCTTTGTCTCTTGACTCTTTGTCTCTTGACTCTTTGTCTCCTGACTCTTTGTCTCCTAATTCTTTGACTCTTTGTCTCCTGACTCTTTGTCTCTTTGTCTCCTGACTCTTTGTCTCTTTGTCTCCTAATTCTTTGACTCTTTGTCTCCTAACTCTTTGTCTCTTTGTCTCTTTGTCTCCTGACTCTTTGTCTCTTTGTCTCCTGACTCTTTGTCTCCTAACTCTTTGTCTCTTTGTCTCCTGACTCTTTGTCTCTTTGTCTCCTGACTCTTTGTCTCCTGACTCTTTGTCTCTTTGTCTCCTGACTCTTTGTCTCCTGACTCTTTGTCTCTTTGTCTCCTAACTCTTTGTCTCTTTGTCTCCTGACTCTTTGTCTCTTTGTCTCCTGACTCTTTGTCTCCTGACTCTTTGTCTCTTTGGCTCCTAACTCTTTGACTTTTTGTCTCTTGACTCTTTATCTCTTGACTCTTTGTCTCCTGACTCTTTGTCTCCTGACTCTTTGTCTCTTGACTCTTTGTCTCTTTGTCTCCTGTTTCTTTCAGCTGCATAAGAATGGTAAAGCTGACGTGCTGATCACAGACCTGTACATGGAGAATGCTCAGCTGCTCAAAGCTCTGGAGAAAACAGAAAAGCGACAGAAGATCTCCGAGAAGAAGAACTATCTGCTGGAGGAGAAGATCTGCAGCCTGAACCGGATCGTACGAGACCTGAACCCTGCTCCCTCACTGCCGTATCATTTCTGACAGAAAAACAAGAACGTTAATGCCGTGTCTCCTTTTTAATAACTCCACCATAACTCTGTGGACTAAACACTGCAGTGTTTCATTTTAAAGATTTATTTTGGGGCATTTGGGGACCTGCAGGACTACAGCCTCCACACATGGGTCGCCCGTCTCGAGGACTACAGCCTCCAGACATGGGTCGCCCGTCTGGAGGACTACAGCCTCCGGAATTTGAAGACAGCCAATGTTGGGTCATGTATAGTTTTTAACCAAAATCCGTCTGATTGCACGAAAACATTGGCAACGTTTGGATCGTTGGATGCACAAATCTAAACAATTCTATCGATCATTAAAATCACAAACCATCATTTTTAAACAATTCGCCAACCCTACATGCACTTTATAGAGAATGACCCGTTTTTTTTATGAATGAAGGACAGTCAGCTGCTCTAACGGGACGACGGACCCGTGTTTCTGTTTCACAATAAAATTAATTTAATATTTGATTTCTTTTTTTAATTTGTGTTTTTCTTGAATAAAATGTTAAAATTTCAGTTTAACGTCGTTCCTTTAAGGATGAGTGACCCTAAAATGTCCTCTTGTGCTGCACTCGGACATCTTTTGGGCTTGAAGGTTCAGTCTGATATTTTCAGCCACTCGCCGAATGACGTTGAATATTTTGTCTGCAGTTGTACGAGATCTGTCCAGATGAAGTCTGGTTTGGATGTTCTGGTTGAAATGATCTCCTACAGTAAAGATCTCAGATATTCTCTCAACATCTTCAGAGATCTTGACGAGCGCTGTTCAGTAAGGCGACTGTTAATATGATCCAAAAGTGCTAACTGGAAAATAAAGAAAACACATGTCATTTAGCTGGAAACCACTTTCATAAGGAAACAACCAAACTTTTTATCGTTGATCAATCTGTCTGCAGGAAGTTCCTACAGAACCGGAGACAGTAATTGGCTCTCGCTCCTGTGTGAGTGTCAATCATTTTGAATGTATGGAAGCCTAGAGAGCCAAAACATGTAATTTTTCTTATTTCTGAAAATCTAAAACCTCTTTCTTTCGTTTAATTTTGATGTTTTAATTTTTAACGTCATCGTGGTTCGTTGAAAAACCTTTTTTGATTTATTGAATAAACGACAGAAAGACGATTTCAGAGTTCATGAGTTTTCTTTGAACATCATTATTTGTGAGGGTTCATTCGCAGCTTGAATTCAACAGACTTATTAAAAGAAGAAAGTAAAGTTTATTGAAAAGATTCAGATTAATTTCTTCAGCTCAATGACAAAACATCAGACTGAAAATACAGATGTTGATCATACATGAGCAACAAACAGAAACATCAGCTCAGACTCAGGAAGCAAAGACTTCTGGGACACGAAGTTTACAGAGGTGTTGCTGCTAAAGTTCATAAATGTGAAGGTTGAAGGTTAAAAGGCGAATGATGTCATCACTCTTTCCTCAGAGCTCGAGCCGTTTCCTCGATGGCCTCTCGGGGCTCGTTGGGAGGCGGGATCTTCAGGTCGGTTGGCTCCACTCCCCACACCTCGGTGGCGTACTCTGTGATAGTTCTGTCGCTGGAGAACTTCCCCGTAGCAGCGATGTTCTTGATCACCATCTTGGTCCACGCCGTTGGATTCTTTAAGACAAATAAAACATTTTCTTCACATCTGGATAATTCTCTTAATAAATTATTATGATTATTATTTTGGTCCCAGTTCTCCGCTTCCTATCCGGTACTTAAAGGTCTCCTTATCAGGAACAGTATAACTATACTTTATAGAGACAGGACCCGTGGTTATTGCTTTAGGCTTGAAGCAGTCAGTGGTTAAATTCAAACTCTCCTTTAGCCTTTAACCAGTTAGCCTGCTTGGTTTGGTTTCCCAGTGTAACTTGCACTTTAATGAGCTGAATGAACGGGATCAGAGTGAGACGCTCATCATCTTGTTCAAGGGTGTTGGACTCAAACGTTACCTGGTACAGTTTGTTGACTTCCTCCTGAGAGTTCATGTAGTCTTCAAAGTCTGCAAACACTTTGAAACTGAAGAGACAACAAAAGAGGATGAAGACAGACAACATAAACTACAAGTTATCCTCCATTGACATGAAAAGAATGACTGAAACAGAAACCGTTCTGAAATCATTGAGGCGTAGAAAGTGTAAACCAGAAGCTGTGCTTGTTTTTCTCTCTCATCTCAGACTCCTCTGGACATCAGGGTTAAAGGTTAAACCTCTCTGTGTGTGTGTGTTTCTCACCGGTCGTGCTTGAAGAGCATCTCAGTGAGGTCTTTGAACAGGTGAGGATTTTTGGGGCTGAAGAAGCCGCTGGTGATCTGGTCCATCACTTGTTTGAGCTCAGGGATCTTCTTGTAGTACGACATGGCATCGTATCTAAAAACAGACCAAGTTTGTGCAAAGTCATAAAACTGAACACAGCATGGTTTCTTTTTTCACCCTGATATCAACACTTTGTTCCCCTAATAGTTTCAGGACATTTCTTCTGCTTTAATATCCATTATTTGCATTATGCTCTTCAACCTCATGACCGATATTAAGGCGGCTGTGGTTCAGTGGTAGAGTCAGACATCTTTACGCTGAAAAGTCGTGGGTTTGATCCCCAGCTCCTGCAGCCACATGTCTGATGTGTCCTTGGGCAAGACACTTAAGCCCAAGTTGCCTCTACCATCAGTGTGTGAATGTGTATGAATGGATGAGTTAATACTGATGGACTCTTTACTCAGCAGCCTCTACCATCAGTGCATACACTGAAATGGATGAGTTAATACTGATGGACTGTTAAATTATTCCACCTAAAGCAGACAGTGAGACAGCCTACTTTACCCTTTTTTGTCCATCTCAGCCACGTCCTCCACCCTCATCCCGAAGATGAAAAGGTTCTCCTCTCCGGCCTCTTCGGCCATCTCCACATTGGCTCCATCCATGGTGCCAATGGTCAGCGCTCCGTTCAGCATGAACTTCATGTTTCCTGTTCCTGATGCTTCAGTGCCAGCGGTAGAGATCTGCTCAGACAGATCTGTGGCAGGTATCACTGAGAGAGACAGCAAATCGTTTTTATTTATTTATTCATTATTCTGTATTTTTATTACTGGGAACATTTTTGCAATTCAAAACACCTTTATATCAACACAGTCAGTTAAAACAAAATTTCACACAAGCAACAACAGGCTGGTTTTTGCTACCCAGAACAAACACGTACAGTTATAAGAACAATGAAAACATGGGATTCTTCACCACTGTTATTGACTAAATTAACACAAATGTATTTTGAAAAAGCAAACAAAGAAACAGCTCGGGGAATCATATCTGTGCGATATGCACAAAGGTTTGTTTGACAGAATTGATTGTAAAGTTTGATGAATTTTCTAAAATGTATTGATTTGTATAAACTATTTTTGTAATGCCCTCTTCTAAATGTGATGCAGATGTTTATGCAGACTATAGTGCTTAAAGAGTAACTAAACCCTAAAACCACTTTTTTCAACTATAAACCTCTGTATTTGAGTATTAAGTAGTGTTATGGATCAATATTGTATTGAAATTTGAAATATTGTGTTAGAAATGTGCATAGTGTCTGCCCTTCCGTTTGAAAAAGTCTAACGGCTGTGTTGAATACACGCCTACGTAGAAATGAATGCCTACGTCACCAAACCTATAAAAGCCTCGTGACTCTGATTTCTCCTGCTTATTCTGCTCCGGTCCCCGGCATCATAACATGCCTCTTGCACACACCTGCCGAACACACACTCGCCTCGTTCTCTCTCTCTCCTCACTCGCTCCCCCCACCCACACACATGCGCACTGAGCCATTCACAGACAGACACACCCTGCTCGTATAACAGGGGTTATTTGTCTAAAATTTAAAAGCCATAAATCCTCCAGGGGGCCTCGTGTACCATTCAGAAATGTCCCCCATCCTCTCCTGCACCTCACCGTCCTCGTCATTAGCTGTCTCTGCTCTCGCTGCCCCTATTAACGGGTCAAAACGATACGGATCTGGAAGTCCGTGGTCATGCTCAACTTGAGGGTCTACAGGAGACTCTAGAGGAGAGAAGTCTTCGACTTCAAATGACATTTCCGTGGCACACGTGCCATTGCTGCTTCGAGTCGTCGCTCATGGCTAAATAACCTAGCTAAACCTACGGGTACTGTTTTTATTTGTGTGTGTGGGGCAAACATTGTATCTTGCTACGGCTGATAACGGCGCGAGTTTACCCCACTGCCCTCCTCCCTCCCTCTCGAAGTTGATACATTGACACTCTAAATGCTTTTTTTTTTTAAATTCCAGGGTCGAGCACTACAGCTGAAAATATGGGGTTTAGTTACCCTTTAATTCTGTTTTTCAAATGGAAATTTTTTATTAATGTCCTTGTTTGTTAATGTGGACCCCAGGAAGAAGACCTGAGCGCTCGGGTACGGCTAATTGAGATGCTAACAAATAAAAAATAAAAATAGGCTTACAGAGGCTCAGAAAAGTGAGCTGGTGAGAAAGAAAAAGTTCTAAAAGTACCTTTCTCTGCTAAGGAGACCCTGTAGTTCTCCAGGAAGATGACCTTCAGCTTGTTTCCCACCACAGGATCATTATTCACAACGTCAGCCACTGATGTGATCAGCCTGATGATCATCTTGGCCATGTGATACCCTGGTGCAGCCTGCAGAGGGACAGTGTGTCACTTATAACCAACACAAACATCACAGCTCTTGTGTTGCTCTGATGACTTCTCAGTACCTTTCCCCCGATGATCACTGTTCGAGGTACGAAAGGGGCAGCCGGGGTTTTCCTGATCCCTTTGGAAACACCAGAATGACAAAAGATTTAACATAAGCCGAAACCAGAGAGACACCGAGAGACATCGAGAGAAATGAGAGACACAGAGAAACGAGAGACACCGAGTGGCGTGTGATGGTGTGTGATTGACATACGGTTGTACATGGCGATGTGTGATTGACGTCTGGTTGTACATGGCGATGTGTGATTGACGTCTGGTTGTACATGGCGATGTGTGATTGACGTACGGTTGTACATGGCGATGTGTGATTGACGTACGGTTGTACATGGCGATGTGTGATTGACGTCTGGTTGTACATGGCGATGTGTGATTGACGTACGGTTGTACATGGCGATGTGTGATTGACGTCTGGTTGTACATGGCGATGTGTGATTGACGTACGGTTGTACATGGCGATGTGTGATTGACGTACGGTTATACATGGCGATGTGTGATTGACGTACGGTTGTACATGGCGATGTGTGATTGACGTACGGTTATACATGGCGATGTGTGATTGACGTACGGTTGTACATGGCGATGTGTGATTGACGTACGGTTATACATGGCGATGTGTGATTGACGTACGGTTGTACATGGCGATGTGTGATTGACGTCTGGTTGTACATGGCGATGTGTGATTGACGTCTGGTTGTACATGGCGATGTGTGATTGACGTACGGTTGTACATGGCGATGTGTGATTGACGTACG